AGTGTTTGTTACACTAAATTTATTTATTTATTTTATTATTGCTACACAATAAATAAATAAATAAATACATACATACACATACAGTGTACAGAAAATCAGCCAACAGACATCATTCATTCAAGGTAATGGTATCATCATTGACCTTTTATAAAATCAAACAAAAAACGTTGACCACTATTCTAGCTGTTACAGTAATTACGAAACAGAGTTGTTACCTTTCATCAGCGTGACAAAATAATCTCTGTTAAAAGTGAAAACTGACTCGACTCTGGCTCCTCGGGCCCTTTGAAAGCAGTCTGAGGGGGTCTGCCATTGATTGCGGCCCACCGCTGTGTGGCACAGATAAGGCAGGACGGACCCATTCTGAGTTCAAAAGAGCCTGGAGCCCCCTGCGAGATTACCGTCATTTAAAGATGACCTCTGCCGTGCTAATTTCCTTCTGAAAGCCACAGTTTGACTCTGCGCTGGTCCTCGTTAAACCCTTAAGAGAGGGAGAGAGAGAGAGAGAAATAAAGATAGCAGAGCGCTGAGAGCTGCCGCGTCTGTGCCGCACACATAAATTGGGCTTTAGATGTCTGTAGAGTTTGTGCTAAACAGACCTGGAATCTGGTATCCATTATCAGGTCTTTAGGGGCCCTTATAAAGTCATGTTTATTCATACAATCACACAGACTCAAATTCATACACATATGTGACCCTGGACCACAAAACCAGCCTTAAGTGTCTATTAAGTGTCAAAAAAATCAAAATACTGAGAAAATCGCCTTTAAAATTGTCCAAATAAAGTCCTTAGCAATGCATATTACTAATCAAAACTGAAGTTTTGATATATTTACAGTAAGAAATGTACAAAATATCTTCATGGAACATAATCTTTACTTAATATCCTAATGATTTTTGGCATAAAAGTAAAATCTATAATTTTGACCCATACAATGTATTTTTGGCTTTTGCTACAAATATACCTGTGCAACATAAGACTGGTTTTGTGGTCCAGGGTCACATATTGTAATACATTAGCCTGCGATCTGAATTCAAATATTCAATAAAGACATGAAGGTTCCTCATATTTAAACATTCCAATAATACATTAACCAAACTTACACTACTGTTTAAAAGTATGGGGCTTTAATGTTTTTGAAAGAAGTCTCTTGTGCTCACCAAGGCTGCATTTATTTGATCAAAAATACAGTAAAAACTGTGAAATATTATTACAATTTAAAATAACAGTTTTCTATTGTAATAAATTATAAAATGACATTTAATTATGTGATCAAAGCTGAATTTTCAGCATCATTACTCCAGTTTTCAGTGTCACATGATCCTTCAGAAATTATAACAATATGATTTGCTGCTCAATAAACATTTTTAGCGACAACTTTTTATCTCACAATTTTGACTTTTTTAATTTTTATCAAATAAAAAGGCAACTGTGAATTTTTCAGACAGTTTAGACTTTTTTGAATTTTGTGATAATAAAAAGTAATTGTGACTTTTTATCTCACAATTCTGACTTTTTTCTCACAGTTCTGAGAATTGCGAGATATAAATGCAGAATTTCGAGATACTGTATAAGAACAGAATTGCAAGAAATTCTCACAATTCTGAGAAGAAAACCTAGAATTGAAAGATAAAAAGGCACAATTACCTTTTTAAATTTTTTTCCATGGTAGAAACTAAAAAAAAGAATTACGAGACGTAAACTCAGAATTCTGAGAAGAAAAACGGAATTGTGAGAAAGTCATACTTCTGAGTTTATATAAAAGTATTTTTATAACAAAGTCAGAATTGTGAGATAAAAATTCGGAATTCATAAAGTCAGAATTGTGCGATATGAACTCAGAATTGCGAGAAAAAAAAAAGGTCAGAGTTGTGAAATAAAAAGTTGCAATTACCTTTTTAAATTTTTTATTCCATGGTGGAAAGAAAACAAAACAAAAGAATTGCGAGAAGTAAACTTAGAATTCTCTGAAAAAAAAACGGAATTGCGATTTTTGCGAGTTTATATCTCGCAATTCTGACTTTTTTTCTCAGAATTTCATATTTCATATCAAAGAAAGTCAGAATTGTGCGATATAAACTCGAAAAAAAAAAAAAAGTTTAGAATTGTGAAATAAATTACCAAGTTGCAATTACCTTTTTACATTTTTTATTCCATGGCAGAAACTGGCTTCCATAGTTCCATTTCAACTGACGGACAACAAAACAGGTGAAAACAAATTCCATAGACGCACACTGAAGGAAAGAACCGAGCAATACAGTATCTAGACCAGAAGGATCACAAAGACATGAGGATGCACGAGCTTAGCAACCACCGAAAACACCCTAGCAACCACCTATAGCACCCAGGTAGAACATAATGCAAGATTATTGGTTCTTTTCCAAGGAATCACAAATGATTATCAATTTATACCTAGAATGCAAATCATTTTGGATTAAAATGTCTGCTAAATGTGTAAATAAATAAAGATCAACTCAGCAACCACCCACAACATCATGCCGGTGAGTTTTACACTTGCAAAAACAGAATATTTAGGAATCTACTTAATATTATTGATACTTCTACAATTTGAACCACCCAGAGCATGATATATCTGTTTGCATTTGTCTAAAGCCTCAGATGCACAACTCAATCCACTGTGTGAGTGTGTGTTTCTCCAGCTGCGAGCATGTGGCTTTGATTATTGGCCGCTCTGCCCAGGGGGAGTGACTGATTGAAACTCCAGACTCCGGCCTGGCAGAACACTGTTTATTATATAGTCTGGCAATTATTTCACTCATGATTGCTAATTTCAGGAAATTAGATTTGTGTGAGGGAGAGACAAAAAAAAAAAAAGAGACGCATGTGCCTCCGAATGTATAATGCATATGCCATAGAAGGATGATGAGGATGACTTCACAAAGGTACTATAGCCTACTTATTGCGCGCAGCTCATCCAATCAGATTTCAGTACTATAAATTTGATAGTACTTTTTCAGTAGCATTGCTTTCTGAAGTATTATTTTTTTTTTCGTTATATTGATGGCATTTTTTTTTTTTTTGGAACCATGAATCAAATCAACCTATGGAAGCCCGTTTCCATCACTCAACAAGGTAATTGTGACAATTCTGACTTCCCAAGAACGATAACTATAAAGATAGCTATAAAGATAACGATATTAGCGTCCACACCAATGGACGATATCGTCTGTTTATTCTAAGCGCACGCTCGTCTGCCACTTTAAATTCTCGAGCTTGTTATAGCAGGATGGATTCTGATTGGCTGTCAATGTTTGTATCGTTCATATGACATATAGCGAGTTACTAACATGTTTGCTAGCATGATTCTAGCATGATTATCATGTTACTAGCATGGTGTTAGCATTTTGTTAGCATGATTACCAAGTTAGTAGTATGATTCTAGCATGTTACTAGCATAATGATAGCATGTTTCTAACATGTTTAACAAGTTGCTAACATGTTTCTAGCATGATTAGCAAGTTACTAGCATGTTGTTAACATGATTCTAGCATGATTAACAAGTTACTAGCATGTTACTAACATGTTGTTATCATGATTAGCATGTTACTAGCATGGTGTTATAATGAGTGGCAAGTTACTAGCATTTTTCTAGCATGATTAGCATGTTACTAGCATGTTTTAGCATGATTAGCAAGTTACTAGCATGTTGTTAACATGATTAGCAAGTTACTATCATGTTGTTAGCAAGATTAGCATTTGTTAGCATGATTCTAGCATGATTAGCAAGTTACTAGCATGATTAGCATGTTAACAGCATGTTGCTAGTGTAACGGAGGCCAGCGAGTAGGTGCTGTGCAGGTAAACCTCACTCCCCTGATCACAAGAGACGCACTAGCGACTGATGCTAGAGGCTGCAGTCTTTAGCCTCCTTGTTAGTGTGTCCGCTTCCCATGCCGGAGACCTGGGTTCGAGACCCACTCGGAGCAAGAACGAGGTGTGGCTGTGAGGACCTGGGAGAGAGGGATTATACTAGCATGATTAGCAAGTTACTAGCATGTTATTAGCATGTTGCTAGCATGATTAGCAAGTCACTAGCATGTTGCTAGCATGTTTAGCATGTTTCTAGCATGATTAGCAAGCTACTAGCATGTTGCAAGCATGATTAGCATATTACTAGCATGTTTCTAGCATGATTAGCTAGTTATTAGCATGTTTGCTAGCTTGTTTCTATCATGATTAGCATGTTACTAGCATGTTGTTAGCATGATTAGCAAGTTACTAGCATGCTGTTTGCATGTTTCCATGCTAATACAGTTAAAACCAGCTAAAACCAGTTGATTCAGTTAAAAAAAATGCTAAAACCAGCTTAAAACCAGCTACACCCAGTTGATTCAGTAAAAACCCAGCTAAAACCAGCTTAGGCTGGTTGCCTAGTCTTAGCTGGTTTAAGTTGAAAATATCTGGGTTAAGCTTGGTTGGTCTTTTAGCAGGTCTCACAGCTTGACCAGCTAAGACCAGCCTGACCAGCTAAAAAGTTGCCAAAACCACTTTAAAACCAGCCTGGGAGACCAGCCAAAGCAGCTTGTTTTAGCTGTTTTTTTTTCAGTAGGGAGTTTTTAAGCTTTGCTATGGCAGTAGACAGCTTAAAAACACCATAAGTCTCATTGTATAAAAGTTTTCACACCTTCAATGAAAGTCTATGAGATTTTAGGTGGTTTTGATAGTCTGGTTTACGAAAACCATAAGTCGGATCAGTTAGAAAAGATATAGCACACCGAGTCAGACCAGTCTGAAGGTCTGACCCGAGTTTGGTGGTTGTAGCTTGAAAGCTCTAGGAGGAGATAGCGTTTAAATTTTGTCTCAGAAGAATAATAATAAGTTTAAATAGTAGATCAGTAAGTTGGCTTTCTCAAGCCAAGTTAATTAATTACTCTCTGGGAAAAATAAATGGGATTTTTACTTCCGGAGCCCAAGTTGAAATAGTCTTCATGCCTCATAAACGGTTTCTCAACGTCTAAAATGCTTCTCCCCGCGTCTGTGAATCTTTGTTGGGCCGTTTGGTGAGATGAAACCAGAGGTTTACCGCGGAGGCGTCTGGAAAGAGCAAATCAAATCAATCAATTTATTGCTCAACGGCCTCTATGAGAGAATGAATGGTCCAAAACATTGGCAGCGTGGATGAATTTCATTCTTGAGATTTCAGAGAGTATGATTTCTAACCAAGAGTTTGTAGAAATATTTCATATGTCTGCAGATTGTATGATATTGATCCTCTCCAGATGTACGGTGAGGGAAAGCGAACCCTCAGCAATCATAATTCAAACCCTCTTAAGATGTTATGACAGAAATGTAATTAAACTTAAATCACTCTCATTAATCACACCAACCTTCATCCAAAAAAAAAAGTGTAGTGTGACATATCTGAAAACCTAATCAACTATCTGTAACATGTAAATCATATTAACAGATATCAAATCATGAATTATTAAAAAAGAGCACTTGTTTTGGACAGCTTTTATATATCAGAATTGCATTTAAAATCCATGTATATATATATATATATATATAATTATTTTTGTCTTTAAACTTTGTACAATGTTTACATGCAGCAGATATGTGTTATAGTGTAATGTAAAATATTACATAAAGTCGCTTGGTACATTACAAAAAATACCATATTAAATATATAAATATATTTATACCATCCACGGCACTAAATGTTCATAATAAATTAATCAAGAGTCTCTTTTAAACAACAGGAAGCTTCACAATATCAATTTATCCTGTAAATAAAAGGAATTTTTGCTTAAAGGGGTCATATGATGTTGCTAAAAAGAACATTATTTTGTGTATTTGGTGTAATGAAATGTGTTTATGCAGTTAACTTTACATATCTTCTTTATGCACCAAGAGCTTGCACTACAAAGAGAAAGGAAAAATTGAAATTGCATCATATGACCCCTTTAAACCACAAATCTTCGCGAGCTTGCAAACCGTTAAGCAAAAAGCTAAAATCCGCACGTTAGCAAGCGATATTGGTGCTAAAACCACATAGCAACGCCAAGGCTATCATGGAAGCGCGGGTTTTTTTTTTGTGCTGCTGTAAAATCATAGTAAATTAACAATGTACAAAGTTTTAAGACACTATCTGACATTTTGGTTAATCTTTTATCGAATCAAAATGGCATTTGACTGAGCTTACCATAGTAAGAGTCTCTATAAACTCGACGATCAATATTTGTAGATTATTCTGATAAAGCTACTGATCTCTAATGACGAAAGAAGCGCGCGCCCGTGATTGCGCGTCCGCGAGTGCTCGGTCCTGCCCCCAGAACGCGCAGCGGACACGCGCTCATTAAAGCCCTGACAATCAGCCTCAACGCGACTTTCTCTCTGTGTTTCTCCTCTCAAAGACTTTAAAAGACTCTCTCTCGTCGCGTTTGGATAAATGGATCTCTCTGTGGTCGTGCTGTTGTGTTTGTGCGGGTTTCTGCGGGGCCAAGGTGAGTTTACTTCAAACATCACTGCTGCTATTACAATACATTCATGCAGAGTTTGCAGAAAAGCGGAGTTTTTATGACATAATAACATGACTTTACACTCGCCTCATGTCCGTCTGTCTCCATGTGCTCCATTTCCTCAGACTGTTGTCGTATACAAGTGTTTAAACGTGTCTTGAAAGCAAAATAAGATAAAAACAGAATAGTGTAATATAAAATATTACAGAAAGTCACTTGGTACATTACAAAAAATATCAGGTATTGAATAAGTATTACATGGTATAAATGTATGATTCAGTGAAGTATAATATATTTATTACAAATTTTGCTAAACTTACAATGGGGGGTATGGTATGGTAAAGTGTAGTATAGTATACCATAGTATACATAGTATATACATAGTATAGTATAGTTAGTATATAGTTAGTATAGTATATACATAGTATAGTATAGTTAGTATAGTATAGTATATGTATATACATAGTATAGTTGTATATACATAGTATAGTATAGTTAGTATATAGTTAGTTAGTATAGTATAGTATATGTATATACATAGTATAGTTGTATATACATAGTATAGTATAGTTAGTATATAGTTAGTTAGTATAGTATAGTATATGTATATACATAGTATAGTTGTATATACATAGTATAGTATAGTTAGTATATAGTTAGTTAGTATAGTATAGTATATGTATATACATAGTATAGTTGTATATACATAGTATAGTATAGTTAGTATATAGTTAGTTAGTATAGTATAGTATATGTATATACATAGTATAGTTGTATATACATAGTATAGTATAGTTAGTATATAGTTAGTTAGTATAGTATATACATAGTATAGTTGTATATACATAGTATAGTATAGTTAGTATATAGTTAGTTAGTATAGTATATACATAGTATAGTTGTATATACATAGTATAGTATAGTTAGTATATAGTTAGTTAGTATAGTATATACATAGTATAGTTGTATATACATAGTATAGTATAGTTAGTATATAGTTAGTTAGTATAGTATATACATAGTATAGTTGTATATACATAGTATAGTATAGTTAGTATATAGTTAGTTAGTATAGTATAGTATATGTATATACATAGTATAGTTGTATATACATAGTATAGTATAGTTAGTATATAGTTAGTTAGTATAGTATAGTATATGTGTTGTATATACTTGTATATAGTTGGTTGTATTAGTAGTGTAGTGATTAGTATATATTATATGCTATATTATTACATTACAATATAATTTATTATATACTATATTGTATATAGTAAATATTCTATTACTATTTACTATAATGTATTAAAAATGTAATAATAATACATATATAATATATACATATACACACACAGATGTATTGATGTCAAAACTAATTTAAATACATATTATATACATTTAAATATAAATACATATAAAATATGTACATATATTTAAATGCATTTATATATTTACGCACACATTTATATATTTAAATATTTATTTAAATAAATAAATAATTGTGTGTATTTTTTAACATCACGTCTTTGTATACTAAAACTTTAAATGAGTCTCTTGCTGATCTCTTAATGAAAGGCTTGTTCTCACAAAACTATCATTTACCCCTGCGGAGGTGTTTTACTCTGAGTCACAGATACTGTGTGGTAGAAGAGGTGGTGTGAATATTTAGATAAGGGGGCGTGGTCTGGTTTGCAGTAGCCAATGAGGGTTTGCTATGCGGGATGCAGCCCACAGCACAGCACACAAGATGCTCTTTGCTGCCAGATAGTGAAGTTGCATTCACCAGCCGGGGTTGACTAGTTATCCTAACTATACCAGGACTGGTAGAGTGTCTGTATCTGAACATTTACTCAGTTCTCAAGAGATTCATTCCTCACACGTTCTTGCATTCAAACGTCACCGCACAAATGTGGTTTGTGGGCGGAGGTCATAATTCAGAACAACAAACTGTGTTTAAACAGCGGCAACAGAACTGGACCAGTTTTCTTGAACAGCATCATGTGGGTGGTGTTTTCATAGATGGGAAGGTCGACCTGGCCTCGTGCACTAATGCTGTTCTTAATTCACTTTTAAGAGCATTTTATCTCAGTTTTATTGGGCTTTAAAAAGTTTCTATTACAGAAACAACTATTTTCATTATCTACTGTACAGCACAGCTATAATAAACCACCTGCAAATTATTCTGGATAACTTTTATTTTATTTGATATAAATTTTGTAATCTAAAATTATTTTTAAAGGGGTCAGATGATGCGATTTCAAGTTTTCCTTTCTCTTTGGAGTGTTACAAGATTATAATAATTTAAAAAATATATTATGATGAAAATATATTATGATATATAAATACCTTATGCAAAAATCAAAAAATCTAATATATAAGATATTTAAAATATATATTCATTTTTAAAGCTATTAATTATAAAATTAAATATAACAATATTTTATAATGTTTAATTTAAAAATATAAGATGATCATAAATATCTTATGCTAAAATCAAATATTCTGAAATATATTTCTCAAATATTCCCCATTAATAATATAATTAATATATGTATTAATTTTTATATTTTGCAATGTTTAATTAGAAAACAATTATGATTATAAATCTTACGCTCTAATTTTAATAAAATATCTGATCATGATATATCTATTTTTGATATTTCAGATTCTCAGAATCATTTCAGATTCATTTTGTGTCTAATATGCATGGAAAATCAGCTAGATAACCCCTTTATCATTGACAAAAATCTATTTTTATATTAAAAATATTCATATATTTATATTAATTCAATTAAAGCTGCAGTCCGTACGTTTTGCCTCTTTGTCGCCATCTCTGTTTGAAACCTGCAATTGCAGTTACTTGTG